ATTATGTATTTAAATTAATCTCTACTAATTATATTAACCGACCGGTACGCTTATTGTAAGACTTAATAACGTTGACTTTATATTTATATATTCTCTCTATCAGATGGAGCGCGACCGTGCGAAGCTGCTGCAGCAGACGTTCGCAGAGTTGAACAGCGCGTTCGCGGGACAGAACCGTCGCGCGCACAGCGCGCAGCCGCCGCTCGCAGTCAACCGCGTCAAGGTCACCTTCCGCGACGAGCCCGGCGAGGGCAGCGGCGTCGCCCGCTCCTTCTACACCAGCGTCGCCGAGGTAATACATTCACACACGCACCACACATTAAACATACATGCTTCTTACTTTGTTTGGCTGCTATCATACTTCATACTTATATTATGCATGTGAAAGTTTAGATGTATGGGTGGATGGATGTTTGTTAGAGTTTGTAGCATAAACGGCTGAACGGATTTCGATGAAAGTTGGTATAAATGTAGAGGATAGTCTGGAAGAACACATTGACTTACTTTTTTTTTAATTCTACGTGAACAGAGGCAACTCTGTTGCAACGCCCGCAAGGGCGAAAGCTAGTTTATCATATAAATTTTGCAACAGGCGCTATTAGCAAATGAGAAACTGCCCCCCTTGGAATCGACGTCGGGCAACAACATCAACAGCAATGCGGCCAACGGTACTTCGAGCTCCAGCAGTACTAATGCTGGCGCCAGCGCCAACACTGGCACACGGTAAATATTCACTGCGCACATCGGAAAATTTAGAAATTCATAGTTCGAATTAGTTTTAAGATATAATAAAGTGATTTATTGTCTTGAACTACTATTAATAATTAGTATCGAACGTTTATTGATATTTAGCAGCAGCGGTGCTGGCCGGGCGCGCGCCAAGGACACGGCGCGGCGCGTGCCGGGCAGAGCGGCGCCGCGGCCGCCCACCGCGCGCGAGCCGCGTCGCGTCCTCAGCATCGATGCAAGGCCCTACTCGCCACAGGTAACTACTTTTATATACATTTACTTGCTTTTTGTAGATTCTTCTTTTTAAAAAATATCACATGTTATTGGCTTGTTTACACAATGCGGTAGATGTATATTTTGTCACATTTCAGGCCGCACCTGGAAATGAGGGGGCAGGGTATAGCGGGGACCGGCCCGGCGGACATAACGAACATCTCACTTTGCATCAGGCACAGCTCGGCGAACGATTATACCCAAGAGTGAGCAAATATACTATCACATCTCATGTATCAGAACATTTACAAGAACATAAAGTGATATTCAGTATATTTTTTATCGCAGGTACACTCACTACATCCGACATTTGCGGGTAAAATCACTGGGATGCTGTTGGAGTTGACGCCTGCCCAGCTTTTAGTCCTACTTGCCAGTGAAGATGCGTTGAGACAGAAAGTGCGAGAGGCCATGGACCTCATAGTCATGAATCCTTCCGAAGCTATACTAGGTAAGCATAAACCTATTATATCACGCCACGAAAGTTAGTAAAATATTTTAAGATTTGAACACAGGCAGCTTCTGTCACATACAACCCAAGTGTGTTTCTTGTGTTTGAGTGTCAATTGATGTTATATTTATTTTGTGTGTGTAGATCTGGACGTGTTCTCGCTGTCGGAGCGCGGCGGGGGCGGCGGCGCAAGCGGCGGCAGCGGCGCGGGCGCGGCGCTGGGCGCGGGCTCGTCGGCGGCGGCGGCGGACGACGCGGCGCCTCTCTTCTACTCGCCTGGCAAGCGCGGATACTACTCGCCGCGACAGGGACGCGCCACCGCTGAGCGCATCAACGCCTTTAGAAATGTCGGCAGGTACGACCGAACTACAAACACCACATAATAATGTTAAGTTCAAAAAATATGTGGATGATGTCGTAATATTATTTTTCTACACATCATTATACGTTACACTACAGCGTATATTGCCTTTTACTATTGTTATTTAAGTATAACTAACAGTTACACATTTTTTTCTTATAGAATCATTGGGCTGTGTCTGCTACAAAATGAACTGTGCCCGATGTTCCTCAATCGGCACGTGCTGAAATACATCCTGGCTCGACCGATACGCTTCCATGATCTCGCGTTCTTTGACCCCGTCGTCTACGAGAGCTTGCGCCAACTCGTCGCCGACGCTGAGAATGGAGATTCTCATTCCTTGTTTGCAGCTCTCGATCTCAACTTTAGGTAACAGCTTCACTTATAACCATTTGTGATCAAATAAAATTTATCAAAGTGTCTTATTCTGTAGAACGTCGGTTCAAAATTGTTCTAATATTGTTACAGTTTGGAAATGTGTGAAGAAGAAGGCGGTGGTTGTGTGGAGCTGGTCCCCGGTGGCCGAGAAATCGAAGTGACCGCGCTCAACGTGTACGATTACGTGCGCAAGTACGCGCAACATCGGATGCTGCATTCGCAGGAAAAAGCACTCGAGGTATGTTACTAAATGTACTATATATTCTTCGGTTGTTTTTTCATCGGCATATTATAAGGAAAATGTCGCTAGCACATGTTTAATTCATTTTTACTTTCAGTCGATACGTGTAGGAGTACTGGACGTGTTGCCCGAGTCATCTCTGGAGGGCTTGACCGCGGAAGACCTGCGGCTGCTGTTGAACGGCGTGGGCGACATCAACGTGGCCGCGCTGGTCTCGTATACGAGCTTCAACGACGAGAGCGGCGAGCCACCCGAGCGGCTCGTGCGCTTCAAACGCTGGCTCTGGGCTATCGTTGACAAAATGACTCATCTTGAACGACAAGATCTGGTATGTTTTTGTAATTATTACAAGCATATGTTTAGAAAAATTTAAAGGAGTGGCTCATTTGCGTGTAGGCCAAATTATACTAAATTTAAGAGTAATAAATCGTTGTACGAAACGGGTAAAAGGTTTATTGTTTGCGGCAGGTGTACTTCTGGACGGGCTCGCCCGCGCTGCCGGCGTCGGAGGAGGGCTTCCAGCCGATGCCGTCGGTGACGATCCGTCCGGCGGACGACGCGCACCTGCCCACCGCCAACACGTGCATCTCGCGGCTCTACATCCCGCTCTACTCGTCGCGACACGTGCTCAAGCACAAGCTGCTGCTCGCTATCAAAACTAAAAATTTCGGCTTCGTGTAGATGCTATTTAGCCACCGATTCTATGTACCTCTAGCTGTAAGCCCAGTCATGTAAGACTGCCGTTGTATCTCCTCGTCGGGTGGACGGATCTATGATGTCTTGTATTTATATAATGCCATAAATATAGCTCTTATGTCATATATGTTATATAGAAAGCCTACACTATTGTATGTCTCGTATTCTCTTTATGATCTTGGACTAAATTTATATATTAGGTATTATGGACTGAAATAACACAATCTATAGCTTCTATTCAAATATTGACCTGAACAATGCAAGCGGTCCGGTGTGCACAAGTTAATAGTAATCAATAATCACGTTTGAAGTAAAGTTCTACTTTACATACATTTAATTCAAGTCTTATTATAGTAATATTTAAAAGTTTATATACATATACATGTAATGAAGTGTATGTATTGAGTAGCAATCAATTTATGGTATGTTATTTAAAATCGTAAGTTTAATCTTACAATATAAATAGATCGTGTAATCAAAAATATGGACTTCCTTCTATTGTTATGATTTGCGGAATGAAACTGGGAAGTGACTCCTAGGAAGCGACCCTCACACTTTCGTATCCTGTCTAATATAAGTTGATTCGTTTTAACAAATCATAATAGGAATGGGTACTTAATGATCTATTCAAGTGAAAAATACAAAAAACCTGTTCATTTCAATTTCTTGTTCGTCTTTATATTTGTATAAAAAATTTCTTAACCTAAAATCAAATTTAGAATAAACAGAAAAAACTGTCTGTATTAAAAAACCCAATATAGTTAATTTATGTAGTTCCATTTTTAGGTAACTGCTTTATAGACAAATATATGAAGCATTAAATTATAAAAGTGACTGTTGTTTAAACGTGTTTTAGCTGGTTAATTATGCGTGAAATTTCATTTTACTAAGATGCTCGTTCATTAGGCTATCTACACATCTTAGCCGCCGGCTTTTTTAAAACCGATCTTACTGGCGGCTTGCGTCCGCATGTTTCCCGACGGCATGCCTCTCCACTTATTCATTTGAAAATGTGAACGAGTTGTGCCGTTGGAAAAAAATTCGACACAAGCCGCCAAGTCCACCCACCCGCCGACACAAACCGTGCGTCCTGGCGGCGCCGGTATATAGACAGCCTAAAATACGCCGTAATCAGTACAGAAACTACGATACTTCCTAGACGTGAGTTGCCAAACGCATCAACTTATTAGACAAAGTGTAGTTTGACTGCGTACTTTTTTTATTACATTGACTGTATTGAACATTTCTTGTGGAATCACAAACTGTTACTCTTTAACTGTGTAATATTTTAGTAAACTTGTTACATAGGTAGATGTATAACATTATAATAATCCGATTGGTACACGTGCAACATGTTTGGAACTAGGGAGTCGAGGCGGCGAGTAACGGATATTGTGATATCAGAGGAAGTATTATGCGCCTCTATCTCTAAATTTAAGATTATAATTAGATTTCATTACTTTGATTAGTTGTATTGATATGGTTCGTAATAAATAATCCTTAAAATGCTTATATTACTGTTTTTTTTGTTTCCCCTGGCACACATTTAAACTAACTGAAGAACAAATGGACATAATGAATGAGGATCTCTAAATAAATTAAAATCAATTTTCATAGAATTTATTTCTCAATAATGACAAACATTTGTAAAAAGTATATAAAACAGTTTCTTAGTAAATAAACTACATTGAAAGCACTAGCTCGGGAAATTAAAAAAAAAAACAAATGAACAATAAACATGTACATACTTTGTTCAAACATAATAAAATATTTAGGTCATAAGTCGCCAATGAATAAAATATGTAGATTTTTAAATTACAAGTTTATATAAATGCCACATAAGAGTAAATTAAGAGACAAAAAACAACAAATGAACACAATCTTATTATATATTTATTAAAAAGTCCTTAAATTATTTTGCCTGTCATCATTCAACTTTAGAAGCTACTCTCAACTCAGCTGAGGTCTTCTTATAAATATTGTACAATATAATTAGATGACACACATGTAGCATTGCACTCGTTGCATTGGTACTCGGATAGGTGTTCCAACAGAATTCAATTAGAGCTAGGATCAAAAATCTCACAATAACAGACAGATTGGTAGACCATAAGAGATAAGGCAGGCTGTGAAAATACCATGAATAGAACTGGTAATGAAGACTCCTCGCACAAACTACTCCAATAAAGTTGGTCAGAAACATGGGCAAAATGAACAATTGAGATATTACATCAAAGTTAATGCTGTAATGTATATTCTCACTTTCATCTACTTTCTTTTTCTTCAAATTTGTATTTGATGTCTTTTGTAGCATTGATTCAAATGAATTTAAGAACTCCTCTTGCTCTTTTGTTAGCTTTTCTTCATTTACCTCTTGTAATTTTAACTTATCTTTTATAATTCTTGCTTTTCTTTTATTCTCAACATTTTTGGCATCAATTTGCGGTTGCACTTGTTTCTGAACATATCTCAGTCTACAGTAACTCTTAAAATATTGTATACACATAGGTAAAAATATTATCAGCAGCAGAATATGTATTGCTAACAATGTTAAATGGAAATATGTATTTTCAAATATTTTCACTTTTAGGAATCTATAATTTACAGTCCAAGTATGATTAAAAACACGACCAATATCAAAACTACCATGCAAGTAAGAAACTGGAGCTACTATTAAAAACGGTAATCCAAGAAATAGTTGTATCAATCCACACAGGAATATTTGTTTAATTGTGTCTTTCAAACCTAAATTTACCAAATAAAAAAAGAATAAAGCTGGGGCATACAGTATAATATTCATTTTTATAGAAACACCTAGGCTATAAAAAATGCTCCCTAAATTCCACTTTGATTCTAAAAAGAAGTTTAAAGCAATGTAAAGGAAGAGAACAGCTATTGGGTCATTAAACAATCTCAAAACATGAATTGAGTGTATTCTGTATGAAGTTAAAATTGTAACAAGCAGCACATATGGTGGAACTTTTCTAGTCTTTTCGTAAATCTTAAAAACGAAGTGTAATTGTAATAAATATATACCAATAAATATATATTGAGCAAGTTTTATATTTTGTCCTTGATTTGTTAAGAAATAAAATGTAGAATATATGTAAACAAATCCAGCGGGGTAGACCAGTGGACCAGTATCTCCTCGAAGTTGACTATAGTCGAATGTACCATTTAGGAATCCTTCACATTCTTGCATATAGGCTTTCCAATCAATTTCTGTGTAAGGTACTCTCTCTACAATCAGTATGTTGAGTACTAACTCTGCAATAATTATAATAAAGGCCGTGATCGATAATTTCGCCGGGTTCAGAAATAATGCTTTTAAATAGGTAAAGCTCAACATTTTTTTTACATTTCTTGATATCTCTTGAAATTTGCTTCGACCTCCCATCTCAGTTTACATTTAATGGTATCTATTATGAAAATGTATCTATAATCTAGTGCAAGTAGACTTTCGTAATTGATCTGTCTATTTTAAGATACTTATTGTCACCTCAGAAATCCCAGACATTTCATTGCAAATTGGATTGGCTCCCAAAGCATACACTTGAATTTCAAGTGAAATTCATATGTATGACATGTAAGTTTCAATGACTTTGATAAGATAAAATATAAATAACGGCATTGGATACACTTATTACTTGCTAATTGGTTTATTTTGTCGTTTGGAATTATTTAGGAAATAACTATAAAGTATAAACTACCACGACATTATTATGTCAGACTGACACTGACATAACGTCTAACTGACATTAGCCATTTTGTTACCCCTTTCAAAACATTTTTTATGTGTATCACTCATGGAAGTAATAAGTACTACGTATAACAGGAGTCAGTTCTATCTGTACAGTACATGTTGCAGTTAAAATAAAGAAAATAAAACCTTATGCTATGGGTGTAAGAGTCTTTTTGAACGCAAAATGAAATCGAAACCGAGTGAGAGGGCTACAAGTGTCCGACATTTCCCTTTCCAACAGTGACCCAGAGTTGCCAAATATCAATCCTTTCGTTGTTTGTAGAACAATAGGCAATTGACGTAATGTAATGCAGTAAAAATATTTACTTTTAAAATGTTTCTAATTATTAATAATAATTTATTAACGGCATATTAAAGCAATATTAACCTTATTAACACAAAAATTTTGCGATTGGCGTGCAGGTATTCTTTTATTTGTTTGATATTCGGACATGACATCCTGACTCGGGCAATAAAGGCGGAGTTTTTTTATTTTATTTTTTAATTATAGTTAAAATGGGAAGAACTTGTGTCGCAGAGGCTTACTGAAGCAAGTGATATGCTGATTGCGGTTTATATTTTCACAGGTTTTAAACATCATTTGTTGGTGAAGAATGACGGTGACCATGTGCATGACTAATTCTATTGCAAGAAAAAAAAACATTAACAACTTATGCACTTATTTTTTCCTTTCTGTTTTTCATTTCAGATTTAAGATATTAAGAATAAGCTAGGTTTGCTTCATAAACTTCACAAGGCTTTTATTTATCAATGTGTGAGTATCGTTTTTAAAAAATGCATTAATGACAACACTAATAGTACGTTAATTAAAATCCATCTGACGAATAATCAGCTGACGTCAGACAATAAAAACAAGTTTTTTATAATGTCTGTCCTTAAATCACATTTTAACATAGTCACCATCGCCAGAGAGGAATAGAACGGACAACTCTATCCTGTTCTAGAAGTACATCCATGAAATCATTTGAGAAAGATTGAGAGAAAAGAAATATCGTTTGACAGTTCTTACTTTTTTGCCGACTTCCCAATAGATGAATATACTCAAATATTTGAAAAAAATGCTTCAATATAGGAACCATTAGTTATAAATTGATTTTCCCTTTCTCCCAAGTTAATATGGCAATAATGGATTTAGACGGTTCATTCTCGTTGTCAGAGATTCGTTTGAAAATGATTGAGAGAAAAGAAGACAAATATGACGAAAAAAGTTTTTAGGAATTCTTAAATAAAAATTGTATAGCGCTTTGAAGGAGTAAAAAACTTCACGTTATTTGTAAATTATAATTAAGAAACTTATTATTCAAATAGGCTTCCTTCGCTTGACTTTCTTGGGATTTTAAACTTTTGGTAATAAGTAGGCTAATATCTGTTCCACTGTTGGGCCATTAAGTATTGCGTTAGCTTGCTGAAAGACGACATTAGCCACGTAATTATCTATATGATCCTTCAGATTATCATACGAGTCATTAAGTACACTAAAATTAGGTGGACCAGTCATAGGATCGAAGGTATTCATTACATCAAAACGTGTTCCTCTGAATTCCAACTGAAACAAACAATTTTTAATAATAGTCATTATCATCATCATATTCCTCCTTATCCTACACCCGCAATGCCGGCGCGACAGGTTTTTGTCCTCCAAATATCTCTATCATACGTCATCTCAGTCATTACTCCCTTTTTGATCATGTCACCTTTCACGCAATCCATCCATCTCTTTCTGGGTCTACCTCTTCTTCGTTCTCCTTGTAACATGCGATTCATCCCTACTCATAACATGCCCACTCCATGCTAATCTTTTACTTCTTTTTCTGGCAGTGGGGCTACTCTCAAACTTCTAATATACTCATTCCGTATCTTATCCATTCGTGTTACCCCACACATCCATCTTAACATTCTCATTTCTGCCACATGTAGTCTCCTTTCATCCGTCCCTTTTAGTGCCCAATTTAATAATAGTAACATTGTAAAAATACATAGTAATAAGTAACTTCTATTCAACAACACTTACTGCTACGTCACCGATGTGTACTCGAGTGTGCTGGCCTACCAACTGCAAGACTAACGCATTGTTAAGCTGAGTAGGTTTCGTCTGTACGGCGCCCAGTAGCGATATTCCTTGAAGCGCTACACTGTAAATGCAATAAAATAATTACATTAAAACAGCATTGCAATGGTCACCTCTGAAGTCGAACTAAACCTCAAAACACCAATGTAATCTTGAGCCCGCTACAGACGCTCAATTATAACTAAACAATTGGACTGTTTCGTGCAATTCCGTGTATAGGTAAAATCTTAACAGCCGAGCCGGTTGATCTGTACAGTTTTTCTGTTTTCATTTATAGACTTGACTTGTCTTTTATTTAGTACTAGCTTTCGCTCGCAACTCCGTCCGCGTGGAATTTAAAAAACTAAAATAAGTAGCCTATTTGTTCTTCCAGACTATTCTCTACGTCTATGCCAAATTTCGTCCAGATACATTCAGCCGTCTAGGCTACAATCTCTAACAAACATCCATCCATCCATCCATCCATCCATCCATTTAAACTTTCGCATTTGTATTATTAGTATGACTTAAGTACCTAGCTAAAAAATGTGCTTGTTTTAGGCGAAAATATAAACCGTAAAATGTACCTCAATCGACCTTCAACGTGTAGTGATACTCTATCATTCCATATAAGGTGGCCATTTAAATCCACTGTAACAAAATTAATGTTAGGATTAATTATTTTTGATATAAAATGTCAGGTCAAGGCAGACTTTTTTTAGCTCGGTTGCTTCCCAGTGTCCAGTTGTTTGTATAGAAATTTTCCTGTATTAAGTGAACGTTTATTATTTGTACTAATATTATAAAGAGGAAAGATTTGTCTTTCGCATGTATTGAAATAACTCAAAAACTACCAGGCCGATTTTAAAAATTCTTTCACCTTTACAAAGGTAATTTATCTGGGAGTAACATAGGCTATATTATTTTTTAAGCAACAGCTAGTATTTAATCAAATTATAGCTTTGTTGTATAGACTTACCGCCGGCAAGGAGCTCCGGTATATTCAACGAGTAATCTAATCTTCCTGTACTTAGTCGTATTTCCACTAGATTTTGAACAAATTTAACCAAACCAGTCATGTTATAACCTGATACTTTAACGACACCTCTGTAAAAAATTAGGAAAGTTATTTATGTTGAAATAACCCTAAAATAAGTTTTAAGTAAAATCTGATTACTAACTTTAGTTGTTTAAAATCATCATTCAAGACAAACGTTGGCAAGAAATCTCTGGTGTATGGATCTAGCGGCGGCAACGTGTAAAAGCCGTATTTGAAAAGCAACCGCGAGTCTTCGAAAAGCTGGCGCGCATTTCGACTGGCTATCAAATCCTTCTCGTCTAGGGTGGAATAGCGCTTAGTAAGATTGCCGATCTTCACTTCCGCATCATAAAGGCCCAAATGTACGTAGGATTTTGGTGTCACTGTAATAAAGTAATAAAATACAGTTAAAACCACAATTATTTTATCCTAATTAAATCAAAGTCATACTTTTTGTACTTACACAATCCACCCAATTCTAGGGGTAAATATGCCTTCACGCAAGAAATAAAACCGATCAGGAGTATGGTCTTCATGTTGGAGCTCCAAGCGGCCTGCTGGTCAGCTAAAAACTGAACAAACTAACATACGTCCTCCCCAATATATGATGATCGGATTTTTTTCTATTATGCAATGATTTTAAAGTTATTAGTTACGAAAAATCGATTTCGTGCTCAAATTAAAATATCGTGTACCATTGTTAATGACATATTAGATACTTATTGGACGCATTTACCTACGGTTTAATGAATTTTAAAATAGAATTTAAATAGTTTTATATCAATTTGTTAAGAAATATTCAATCTCAAAGTGCCTTCGTCAGAAGAGCGAGCCTCTTTAACCCTTAATACCATGGAGTTTTCTTTTAGTAAAAAAAAATATTATGTAAAAATTAACCGTGGCAGTACTCGCATTAACATCTTCGCACGAATGGTTCGCCCGGTGTAATACCACGATCACACAGAAGCCAGGCGTGAAGTGGAAGCAATTTCGCGTTTTGTCTGATGAGTGTGATGTGGGAAGCCCAACTTTAGTCCCTTTTCCTTCGAAAAATGGGAAGGGGCCGTAGATTAGCCGTAGATAGAGACGCATAGGAAGAGGATATATCCACTTTATGTACATCTTATCCTCCGTCGATCAAGGGTAGGCAACGCATCCACTATCGCGAATGTCTATAGGGTCGGTCGCTTCACCATATTAGCGAATTCAGGTGGCTGGTTGCTCGTTTGCCAACTGATGATATAAAAAAAATATATTTTACAAACACACTAAAACCTTCTAACGAGTTCAGCAATTTTTTGTAATTAATTGATCGTCACACTGGACACTATCAAATTAAGAGTTAAAAAACTCTCTTTTAAAAAAGCAATGGCCATGAGACGATCTGAAAAAGTTTTAGCTCTAGGACTAAGACTCTAGATAGAGAAAAATATTGCTAGAATAGATTACTTTGAATTTTTGACTAGAGAAAACGGTTTTAACTAGTTGTGCAAATAAATGTTAGCAGTTCAGTAGTTTAACGTTGCTTTGTTATTATCATTCCAGTTATACGTATTGCTAAATAAACTATAAGTATACGATGTTGGAAGAAATGTAATAGTTTGTTAATAAATTGGTTTTCACTTGAGCGTTAAATTCCATTAACTACACTTATTGATTTTTTGTAAATGTCGCACAAGCATAAAAATGCTACAGAGTTTAACATACGTATTGCGATATCGCAATATTTGTTGTGATTAAACGTAATAAAAAATATTTTCTTCAACCTAATTACATACTTAAATTAACATTATTTTATTAAATTATACGGTAACATAGGGTCTTCAGTGTATTTATTTATTTACACACGAAAGGAAAAGCTGTCGGTAGTAGTTGGCAAGAAAAAGTAATGCACAGT